CATCGTTAATACAAAAGTGCAGTTATACATTTGTTTCACCATACATTATTTTAATCCTTTGCACTCGATTTATTTTCAATGTGTTGGGTGTAAACTTGTATTTATTTTTAGGGAAATGAATTCAAGTAATTTATAGCGGTAGAATTCAACGTTTTATATTTATTTTATTTATTATTATCATACTAAGATTTAATTTTTATAATCTTTCAAAGCGCGGTACTTTTTAAAATAATTTCCAACGTTCTATAACAAATTTGTATTGTCACCTCTACCATGGTATGCGAGTGCAAGGGGTTAAGGCAATTATAAATATGCCAAGACATTTTCTACGTAGTCTGTGTCTACACAGCATTGTATCTTCAGGTGTGTAAACAATTGTGTAATAACGAACGCAAGTGTCGAGATGAATCAATGCTATCGTTTCGCATCTCGAACACAATTAAAATTTCATTATGAATCCGACTCAACAGGAAATCTGAAAGGGAAAGAGATGTTATCATGTCGGGACGTGTTATGGTACCTCGTTTTCTGTGGTTTTGCGATCAACTACATGTTAAGGATCAATTTAAATCTAACGATAGTTGCGATGGTATTGCCCCATCCGAAGAATGTTTCAACTTCTCAGTGCGAATTAGAAACCATACAGCCAGCATTTAATGCAACACGAGATTACAATGGAACTTTCCAAGATGTCTTCTCCACCGCACCTACAGTAAGCGATGATTTGGTATGTAAACAAAAATAACAGAATAATACATTTCTACTGTAATCAAATCTATTAGAAATCGTGTTGTTTTTAAGAAATATTTTTACTTTGTTTAAGATTGTATATATGTAGATGGATAAAAATATTATAAATATTGGAAATCTGTTCGATGTAAACAGTATGGACAAGTTTTACATTATTTTTTATTCTTTATGTGAAGTTTTTTCAGTAAGAAATATACATTTTATTTAACATTAAATTTCTATGAAGTACTGCTTTAGTTCTTTCTTGTTATTAATTTCTATTAAGTAATACGTATAAACAGTGCTAAGTGTTAAGTTAAACTTATTTTTCGGGATTAATTAGGGATTTCGTCCCCTACGAAGTATTAAAACTATTTAAGGTCTTATCAAAAAATGTAACATTTGTCTATACAATTCATCTGATTTAGATTTCATTTGCTGCATTTTTACTTCTAATCTATTCAAAGTCGAACGAGTGGGAAAAAGAAAACAATTGATACTATACTTCTTGGAGGTCTCTATCCTCGAATAGTGTTTGTGTTAAGGTCTCGGAATTGTAACCATACTGTTGACAGCATTGTTGTTAGATACAAGTGAAGTAACATGCACTGAGTGCTGTAATTTTAAGTATTATTTGGTGTTATCATTTCATTTGAAAATGTTGTCCATACAACGAAACGCATAAAATTTGCGTGACAGTTAACATGTTAAATGAAAAATAATACAGTGAACTGGTGACTAAACAATCTGATACATTTTCAAGCTAAGAAGTTGACTGTCATAAGAATTACATGGAATAAGACAACTAAATGTTGCTATAATAATTGTGTCTCAAAATTTCACGACACTGTTGCATAACGCGTAATGTCCTCATAATGCTATCATTTAAGCAATCCGTAAATATATATTACTGTACTACCAATTCAATTTTACACAACGATTCGAATATTTCTTAGACAACCGTGGAAAACAAATAATTGGATTTTATTTTTTTCTCTTTAATGATCATTTCAGTACCACGATCGCTTTACCTGGAACGCGCACGAGCAAGGTCTAGCGTTGGGGGCTTATTATTGGTTGCATTGGTTATCGCAACTTCCTGGAGGACTTTTAGCGAGACGTTACGGAACCAAACTAGTTTATGGCTTAGGAAATTTCCTAACGGCTATTCTTGGTTTCCTAATTCCGTTTATGACAACCTATCACTTGTACGCGCTTATTTTCCTGCGGGTTCTACAGGGTTTGGCTGCAGTGAGTCAACACAATTAAGAACAAACTTAATACTAATGTAATCCTAACAACCTGATAACTCTTATACCATATTTCTTAATTAACGATGATAATTAACCTCGTTTTCTTAAATATCGGGTCAAACGCGCGAACACTTTAAATGGTATTTAATGAATGTGATTAATTGGTTCACATCACTTGAGAAATATTTATTTCACATTTATCAATATTAATTCTTCTAGTAAACATATATTTATAATGAGTATAGAAGTTATAAGTACGTACATTTCTCTTGTTAAAAGATTGCTAAAAATAGAGTAATTCTTGTGAACCTAGTTGCGAAATAAGTCATGAGGAGTTTAATATTCATTCATGAGCGTTGCCTACAGAAGCATCGTTATCTCAAGTATAAAGTGCTTGAATTTATTGGGTAGATAGATGGTGAAGTATGGAATACGGTGCACAGGAG